GAGAGGAGCACCTTTTCCTCAATGAGGAATAAGTGTTGGCTTTTGTTCGGGTTGCAAAAACAGGTGTCATTGTTCATTGACTCAGGTGGGGAGTTCTGTTATATCTACACACTCACTCAGCCTCGTCTTCTCGTGTGCAAAAACACGCCTAAAGATATCGGTGCACGCGCGTTTACATTATCTATCTATCTATCTATCTATCTATCTATCTATCTATCTATCTATCTCGATGCACACGTGTGTTTACATTATCTATCTATCTATCTATCTATCTATCTATCTATCTATCTAGCTGTGCACGCGCATTTACATTATCTATCTATCTATCTATCTATCTATCTATCTATCTATCTGAGTTGAAAAAATTGATTAAATCCGACAGAATTATTAAATGAAGATTAAGAAGGAAATCTTTATAAATTTATGAAGATTTTCCTTTTTCCTTATTTAAGCACATACGCCCACACACATAAACATACACCCCCACACTCCACCCACACACACACATACACACGCACACACATGTATGTGTTATTAATAAATGCTGTCAATGTATTTTTCTTAGGTTTTGTATATTTTCCTGTATCTTGCATGCGAACAAGTCTTTTCTTCAGAACTTAATGAGTGTAGGAGTTGTCCAAATGTTTGTTGATTCTAGGCGTTTTCGGCTCGTCTATTAGCTGTGTTCAAGGATTTTGTTTATACTACTATAATAAAAAGTGTATAGTGCTATTGTACACATCTAAAATTTGCAAAAAGATAGAGGTTTTCTTAATTCTCGAATACACCCACTAAATTTCAGCCGTGTTCATAATTGATGCTATTAAGGGTTGCATAGTAATTTTTATATATCTGAAAACAAAATAGATATCAATACATATTCTATTATATACATTTATTTACAATTTGATGAACAACCTTAGAATTGCGTAATAAAATCTCATAGCACGAAATAAATTATTGCAAATATTTGTAATAAAATAGATATTATAAGAAGAAATTCATATGGAATATTTATCATATAAATATGTACCGAGGATTTTGACAAAATCTTTGGGTTGTATGTACTTTTATTGGGAAAATATTGACTTGCATAATAACATCAGCAAATAGTATATATATATATATATATATATATATATATATATATATATATATATATATATATATATATATATATATATATATATATATATATATATATGTATATATATATATGATTGATAGATAGATACACACACACACACACATATATATATATATATTTTGTGTATTTAGGCAGCAATCTTTCTTTCATGTACATTTCATTGAATACGACAGACAAGGTGCTTTTATTTAGATTTTTTATACAATTTCTCATGCGATCTAATAATTTTGTTTCTTTTCGGATGATAAATTATATAAAAACTGTCCGAATGTTCTTTTAATTCGAGTGCTTTCGGCTATACATTTAGCCATTATCAAGGATGAAATATTTTAGCTGTTAAATAAGAAATAGTTAAATAGCATGTATATATTTATATAATGTTTTCATTTTTCAAAACAAGGTCAAGATATTGTGTCCATGTTCATAGTTTATATTATTAAGTGTTGTTTTTATTTGCTTTTATTAATAAGGTTTCCATTATTTTTAGCCTTTTCTTGCATGTAGATGATGCTATTATATTTGTGTTGTCAACAGTTATGTTACGAATAGTGTATGTTACGAATATATGGGAAAAAAGAAAAAAAGAGCTCCGTCTACATTGTTAAATGCTCATAGCAAAAACAGGATATTATGTTTAGAATAGATTCCAAATAACCAAAAATTAAAATAAATTGTTAAAAAAAGGATGAATTCCTAGCTCAATACTGACATATTAACAAACATATTCTTTGCTAAATAAAATCAGATTCGAAAAAGTATATCTAAATGTATGTGAAAAATAAATTTAAAAGTTAAAAAATAAAATAATAATTAAAAAACTTATATTTAATCAATGTATTTTTACTCGATAATATAAACTGCAATTATACTTACCCTAAACCAGCCACGATTTACGGTGGAGTAATGGATAGCTAATACCCTTGGGAAAGGTATGAATCCGCTTCTTCACCCCCTCCGGCTATGGGTAAATAGCAAACCGGGTTCTCTAACCCTGGATGGTAACTGGTCATCCGCAGAAAGAGCTGACAACCTACTGCTTGAAAAATCTCCCTCATAAATCATGTATCGAAAGATACATGATCACCTAAGCGTGTATCACGCATGGCATATAACTGAATATGAAGGGGCACCTTGACGTGGTTGAATGGTTAGAAAGCTTGTCTTGCTAGATCAATTACGACTGAGTAGTGAGTCCGATCCTCACTGGGTGTCCCATACTTTCGGCCTTGTGCCACATCTAAGCTGGGCTTAGAAAATCACTATAACTGAATATGAAGAGAATGAAAATCCTTACCAATATTGAGAGAAGTCATATACAACATTTTATAAGCTATAAAAAATTAAATTTAAAAAAATTATTTAAAAATTTAACAGACATACCTATCCATGACAAAATTACATTGATTATATAAAAATATCTAATACATGTAACTGAGAACATTGCGAATTACTTTACGATATAAATATGTCTTTAGAACAGACTTTATTGCATTTCATTATATATTTAAATATTTAAATAAGCTTAATAGTTAAATATTTAAATAAGTTTACGTCACAAACTAACGCCATTTTAGGAAATATAGTTAAAGTCTTTTAAGAAAAATAAAATAAATAAATAAATTTCGTTTCAGTCTCAAGCCCTCTTGATGGATGTAATCTTAAAAAAAAAATCAAAATGGGGATAAGATAAGTGAATAATTAAAAAAGATAAGTGATAATTTGATTTCTTACTATAAAAATATAGTTTTTTTGAGGATGAAACTGGCACCCAGTGGTTATGATTTAATATTGGAATTAAACTTAAATACTGCTGACCAGTTTCGAAACAGTAATTTCTGTGACGCGATGGAATAATATTTAAAAAAAAAAAATTATAATATATATAGTCATATATATATATATATACACATATATATATATATATATACACACACACACATATATATATATATATATATATATATATATATATATATATATATATATATATATATATATATATATATATATACTGTAAATATTACGCTTTTGGGATGTCTGTAAACGTGACAAACATACCCGTTACTAAAATTTTCGCGCTAATAAAAATCGATTGATTAAATGATACATACATGCATACATACATACATACATACACACACACACACACACACACACACACACACACACACACACACACATATATATATATATATATATATATATATATATATATATATATATTTTGTTAAAATTAATTTCCCTTATATCGTCAAATATTAAAAATTTTGTTAGACATGATAATTTCATATTCAGCCCTTCGATTCAATGTAATGTCAAATGTTTTATATTAAGTTCGCAAGACGATAATGTAAAATATTTTATATTAATTTATTTTATTAAGTAATATAATCTTTAATCATTTGTCACCTGTTATATAAACAGCGTATTGACTTTCGTTGTGATATTTTTCGATACACATCCCAATTTGAACTATGGAGGACAGTCTTTGTAATGAAGGAAAAGGGAATCTACGGAGACTCTACCTATCAAAAGCGGCGGGTACTGCTTCAGTGCTTATTGCTTCTCTGTGCTGTGATAAAATAACGCACAGGCACACACCTTTATATCTATTTGTTTTAAATATGCGAGAATTTTTTGTTATCCTTATAGTATTTAATATTTTTAAAGTTATCGCCAACATTTTGTCGAGATTTACAAACTCTACGTTTCGTTCAATTTCGCAAACCAATCGATGAAATTTGAATAAACTGATTTGTTTGGAAAAATACTTTGACAAAAATCCCTACTTCGCAGTTTTTACATACCCTAGTAAAACCAACTTTTCCATATAAATTACTTATCTAGTGTCAATTCATTTGAATTTAAGTACTTTTCGGTGCATAATCAAACTTTAATCAAAACAATAAAGATAGGAAATGAAAATAGGCGTAATGTTAATAATTAATGTCAGAACTTCAAGAATTATTAGCCTGGAACGTATTGATGGAAGAAAAAAAAAAACAAAGATGAAAATATTAGTCTGAATAATTCACAAAAAGTTCTCATATTTGATTTTTCTATTCGTGAATTCATTAAGAATATTTTTTTAAAAATCATTTCTATCAGAAATATTAATATTGACTAAACTTAATATTGTACAAAGTTTAAATTGGATGTGTGAAAGGCAGTTGAAATACACTTACACTAGATGAAGTTTGCTTTAATCAAGTAAAAGAACAAAGAGACATGGGCATTCTAGATTCGCGCGATTTATCTCCAAGATCACATATGTCTGAAATTGTAAGGAAGGCTAATCAAAGAATAAGTATAATTAAATCTTTTGGAATCTTACTCAAGAAAAGTAAAAAAAAAAAAAACCTATTCAACCAATACTAGAATATGGATCCCACAAAAGAGATACTGATTTATTGCAATCCACGCAGGACAGGTGCCTCAGCTAGCATCCCTTCAGTCGTGACACCTGTTCACCGATCTGTGTGAGGTATACAAAATACTGATTATTAGCAAATAAAAATAGCTTTACCTTCTTCATCTTCTCGAAGAAGAGGATACGTGGTTACTCACACTAGTTGAAGAAACAATAGCCAGAAACGGTGGCAAAATCCGACTTATTTATTTTGAAGGTGACAGAGAACTGGAATTCTTTACCAAATGATGTTGTGAACGCTGGTTATTTTCAAGAAGACTTTGAAGATCCTGTGCAAGGACTATTGACTGATTCCTTATTTCTATGTTGATATTTCAAGTCTGGTTCTCTTGTAAAACGTCGTTATATAACATCGATTCATTTACAAAGAAAAAAAATCTCCAGAGATTCCCTTTGGATAGCTACAGGTAATGGTTTTCACTGTGTGGCCATATCACGTTGAAACACCGGTTCTCGTACGATCACTGAAGTTAAGCAACGCCGAGTCTGGTCGTTACCATGATAGGTGTCCGCTTGGGAATACCAGATGCAGTAAGCTTGCGTGTGTGAGTGGTGTAATGGATAATGGCGTGTGCGAGTGGTATAATGGCGTGTGCGAGTGGTATAATGGAGAGTCGAGTTACACTTCAAGTTGGATTCGTTATATTTACTTAAGATCAAAAGCCATTGGAAAAGTTTTGAATCAACCTACTCTTCGCCAGCTATGGGTTAAATAGTAAGACGATCCGCTAAATCTTTATTGTCTCAAAAAAAAAAAAAAAAGCTTAGAATCTAAAAGTATTTTCTGGCTTTAAATAACATGCAAAAAGTTGATAAACCGTAGAAAATGAATGAATTTTTTTGTAATGATTCTTTGCTACTTATCAGGAAGTTTTTGATATCTTTTGAGTAAAATACCGCAAGTTCTGAGGTGAAAAGGTTTTCAACGAACAATTGAATCTGGTTTTCCTTAGTGAAGTTTTTCCCGTCAAGCATTTTGCATTGGCTGAAAAGCATAATAACCAGTTGGTCTAAGTTCAGATAAATATTCCGGTTTGGGTAGAACAGGCTAACCAAATTCCAAAGTTCTTTCTTGGGTTATTCTTCCTATATACGACCATGCATTGTCATGTGAGAAAACAACATTTTTACTAGTGACAAGCACAGGGAGCTTTTCGACCAAACTTTTATGGGCATCTTCCTCATCCTCTTTTATGATATATTGATATTAATGTAATTTCTATGATAATAGTTTTTCTCGCACTTTTCATTTGTGGAACTCTCTTTTGGCTTCTTGCTTTCTATCAAGTTTGATCTTCAAAAATTGTAAAATTTCAAGAAAATCTTCCTGATTTTTCTTCTATTATTCTTGCTCAAAAGTGTTTCTGTTTACTTTCACACCCAGCAACTTCTTGTGTCTTAGTCTCCTTACTGCCTTGCTAGAGGTGATTCCGATTAAAAAAAAAATGGAGACTACGACGCAGTTTAATAGTTAGCAAGCTAGATCAATTACGACCAAGTAGTGAGTTCGATCTTCACTGGGTGCTCTACGCTTTCGGCTTTGTGACACATTTAAGTTACGCTTATAAATTCGCCATATTTAAAGAGCAGTTATTTAGGATGTTACATTCGTAATTACAATTGGTTCTCCAATACGGAAGTTACTTATGACTCAGCCTAATAGTTGAGAGCTTCTCAATTTATTTTGAACAAATGCCATTGTCAAAAATCTTAGATACTACTAATATTACTATTACTACTACTTCTTTTTCTTTAATGTGCCGTGTCCCTTCAGGACGTAGAGGATCATGGCTCTCCAAAATTCCCTCTCTTTTGTAGCTCTTAATAAATTTTGTCTTTTTGTTATAGCTCCTAAACCTTGTTTCTTCATCTATTTATTCAAGCTCATTAAGTAAGTTATGCATTGTTTTCCTCTGTCTCTTTTCCGCTCAATCTGTCCTGTGAGTACCAAATTTTCCAAGCCCTCTTTCCTCATTATGTGTCCTAGAAACTGTCTCTTCCCAATGTTAAGTATAAGTTTCCTTTTTGTTTCCATTTTCACTAAAGCTTCGTCATTGTTCAAATGTTCGGGACATGGTATCCCCAGTATCCTCCTGTTGAACCAAATTTCTGCTGCCTTATTGACGGCACCACCTCTTACGCCCTGTTTTGCAGCGCGTCTTGTGAAATTTAGCATTCAAAGGTTTTACTTCTCCGGCACTCGGATAGTGAATGCTGGCTTCGCAGTGAGAGTTCCCAGCGCCATGCTCATCCAGCAGAATTGCATGCATACATTTTATGCATATATTCATGCCCTAGTGCAGTGCATGTTCTTCTTGAATCAGAACCTTCAATATGGCGGCGAAGAAGACTGACTTGCCAAAAAGAGGCTGACAAACAAATGTATAGAAAAATGAAAAATTTAAAGGCAGAAAAGGGTAAAATAAATAAAAATAAAAACAAACAATAAATATCTTAGAAATAAAAGAAAACAACTTATTTGAATTTTTTTTTCTCCAACCCCTGGGAGACGGCACACGGCAACGGAGACACTAACCGTGAGACCTCAGTTGAAATTTACTAGCATTTATTTCTGCAGTCTAATGATGCGAAGAGAAATCAACACTAAACGCTTCATTTCCTTTCGTTTCTTTATCTCCTACCCCCTATAACCCAAGAAAACAGAACGAACATTCGAAAGAAAGCTATAAGAAACCCCCTTTAAAAAGGAAAAAAAAAAAAAGCAGTTAAAAATTAAAATAAAAAGTCCAATCCTTTTTTCGTTCTTTCTCTTTAAAGAAAAAAAAAATGGGCTAACCTCATCATCTGCCCGGCTGAATCAGCTCCGCCTTTAACTGTTTTTATTTTTCTTCTTTTTCTACTGAACATTACCAAGATGAAAAAAAAAATGTCAGTACAACGGTGTAGAAAACAACAACTAAATTTCTGTATTTAGATTTTTACCTCAATTTTTTTTTATGTATGCTTCAATACCAACCAAAAGAGGCGAGAAACACGGCCACTTAAAACACACGCACACACACATGCACGAGCTTGCATTTACCTTTTGCATAATAAAAATGTTGTACAATGGCGGAGGTGGTTGAATGAAAAATAAAAGCGATTTAGCAGACAAGGCGAGGGCATTAACAGATTGGAAAGTGACTTGAATGGTGTCGTCTGCAACGATGGGTTTTTGAAGCCTCAAAATGAAGCCCTGATTTGGGTCTCGATAGCGCTTACAAGCAAACATTTCAGTCAATAAATACCACACACACACTACGTTGTTAGAAATCTTCGTAAACTTTTAATTTATAGATACTTATGTCATTTACATTAATTACAGACAGGTTATTGTCACAACGATTCTGCCAGTGTGCTCCTCCGCTGGCTTTCTTCAGTTGTCTGTTGATCCGTGTAACCGAACACTTTATTTAATCTACAGGAACAGATTACGCTCGTTCTGGCGTCCATGTTAAGAGATATCTCATCTTGTTCATTTTTAATACTACACAGTTATTCCTCGTATTGTTTCCACTGAATCCAAGTCTGTACAAAATCAGTCCAGGGATTGAACTCATAATTACTATGCTATCAAATTCACAAACCATTGTTTTAATCTAATTGGCTCTTTTTCTGTGCGTTGAAAGTCTAACAAAGATGAGGACATTAATATGCCTGTAAATAATGTAAATATTGATAACTCCTCACCCCAGAAATTCAGAGTAGTATTGAACAATTATTTGCAACATGTACCTTTTCCGAAGCAAGTTAAAAAGTAAAACAAGAAATTGAAAAACATATATACAACGGTATACAAATTTATGAGTAAACAATGACGAGAAAAATGAATCGACGAACATGAATAATCGTTTGTATACAGTTACTGCCTCAGTTACTGCAAATATTCGTTTTTGATTTTTAAAGTGAAATTAGGTGAAACTTGTCTCTTAATCTCTTTTGTTGAAAGTATAGTATTGGTCTCTCCCTGGATCATGTTGGAGTAAGATGTGCCCTCACCTTCACGCCATACCAAAGTGCAGGTGCAGGCTTGATCTGAGGTTACCCCTGGTCGCGGAATGCAGGATCACGCGAGCTCACGCTGACTTGCAAAATGAGCTGCTCCACAAAGATAGATATATAAACACCCAACCCAGCGATAGGAGGAGTCTATCAGATATTGCTGACGAAAATGTAAGGTCCACGTTCGGATTGTAATATGTAGAATAACTGATGAGGTTTTGCAGTGAAATAAAATGTAATGTGAAATATAAGATTCAAATCTTGTGATATTCGTTAATCGCCCCACCCGCCAGTTTTTTTTTTTACGAAATAATTAGAAAGATTTATTACACTTTCTGATTTTCTGAATTAGGCTTTTCATGTCGGCTACTTCGAGTATAGGTTGTGGCCTCTGAATAGTCCAAGTATAGGTATGGAAAGAAAAGGGTCCAGAGGACAACGAAACAAGAAAAATATACATAAAGTGTTGATCAAGGTTCGAGTGCTTAAAAAAGGGGGGCACGTACAGTTGCGAGGATAAGAATCAAGATGTTTTAGCAATGGTTCTGGGGGAAAAAAGAGTAAGTATTTGGAGGTAAATTCCTGGATTCTTTAAAATATTTATAAAATTGTTTGCAACATTATTATGACATAGGAATCGCCATACATGGAAAATGTCTGACTAGCAACACTGTATATAGGGCCAAAGTTGAAGGCTTACTTACCATGAATTATACTGAGTGCATATTAAAAAAAGATATTGTAATCATTTAAACTCCTTTAGATTTAGTAAATATCGTAATAGCACTGCCCTTTCTAGGTACATCTGGGAAATTAAAAATGACCAGAAAATTCATCCGAAAGTAATGTGAAACATAGTGATAAAAAGAAAAATCTGTTCAGGTTGAGAAAGATTTTGCAAATTGTGCCAAGAAGAAAAATTGGCAATTTTGATGTTACGGAACCCAAGTTTGTTGCTGAATAAAAAAATCGGCGATGTTGTCTGGATATATACACGCCCCAAAATATTTTGACAGCAATGGAACCCGGATGAAGCTCACATCCGGGTCAATAAAAAACTTACAATGAGGAGTTCATCATAGTTAAACATGTAAAATGAGGGCGCCATTTTATAGTTGTAAAAGTATAACCGGGTCAAAAGAGCGAGACTTGAGTAGCCTATCTATCTATCTATCTATCTATCTATCTATCTATCTATCTATACCTTCCCATAAAAAGTGATACCTAAGGTTTAAAATGCATTTTAAAAATGAAAACTATTTCTTGAAGCTTTTGTGTTAGTTTTAATTCCAAGCTAATCGATTAAATTTAATATTTCCAATAAGCAAAATACTTTGGTGTATTTAAAACCAAATTTCAATTGAGTGGAAGCATATTTTCTGATTATCAGTTAAATTAATAAAATCGTCTATATTGAAAAATCTGTCAACATAATTCTCTTTATTAATAAATCTTGAAAAATAAAATATACTTTTATGAAACTTTATATGAGAAAAATAGTTCAGTTAATGTCAATTGAAACAAATATTACTTTTAATTTAAAATATCGCTGAAAGGCATTTTGTAACACGGAGGTGTTTTTTTAATGAGATGTTGACATATATTTATCGACAACCTGATGCTTGGGAATTTAGGGGGAGATAATTGTAATAAAATTACATGACGAATACAATGTAAACGATCTTTAATATATATTTTTTTAGAATATTTTAAGCATTCTACTAGTTTATTGAATTTTAAGTACTTTTATCGATTAATTTTAAATTTACTATAGTTACCTCTGTTATTTTATGATAATTTATCATATGGACGTCCGTATTTACAAAAATCGGCACATTTATACACACAGAAAATTCATTTTGAAACATGTCCTGTCACTGAATTGTAGTAAGTTTTTCCATTTATGAATAGTAAATTTCTTTATGGCAACGAATGTTGGATGATGTCCTCAAAGATGAAGAAGAGACACGAGGCGACAGAGATGTGGTTCTACAGAAGGATGCTAAGGATATCATGGACCGGGGGTGTGAGCAACGATGAGGTCTTAGAGAGTTTGCAAACAAGGAAGAGGCTTATACTTAACATCAGGAAGAGACAGCTGATGTTTCTGGGGCGCATAATGAGGAAGGAGGGCTTGGAGAATCTGATACTCACGGGTCAAATAGAAGGAAAAAGAGACAAGGGAAAAGGAGGCTTATACTTAACATCGGGAAGAGACAGCTGAAATTTCTGGGATACATAATGAGGAAGGAGGACCTGGAGAATCTGATACTCACGGGTCGAATAGAGGGAAAGAGTGACAAGATAAAAAAAAAAACGTGACATACCTGGCGGGCTTAAGCATGCCCTGTGTGAGGAAGCAGAGGGAAGGAATTTGTTGAGAGCTGCAAGGGATAGAAGGAGATGGAGAGCCTTGATCGCCTACGTCCTGAAAGGACATAACACGTAAAAAGAAAGAAAGAAAAAATACAGTTTAATAACTCTAGACGATATTCAGTCACTCCCCCCACGAGGGTGTCATGTGGCACAAGGCCTTTTTAACGTGGGCATTCCGAGCCCGTGGGCTCGGCCAAAAATATGCCCATTGAACCCGTATAAACGGGTTCAGGGCCGGTCTACCTCCCCAAAGGAGACTCCGCCCTTCGGCGTAGCCTCCTTCGGGTTCCTTCCGTCCGTAGGAAGAGAGTACAACCGAACAGTCGGTTCAGAGTTGAACGACTGACTCGATCAGTTTAATAACTCTTGACTGCTACAAATTAATACCGAATTTAAAAATTTTTTAAAGTTTATAAATTATTCTAATCAAAATTGAAAAAGAAATGAAAACAATTCTTGTAAAATATCATTATTCATCTAAATTTGTTTTTTTCTTAAAAAATAGTGTCTATAATATATTTTATTCATAAAAAACAATTAAAAGCTTTTCTAATTAAATAATGTCATACTTTTATTGCATTTTTTATTTTACGATTCACAGAGATTTTCTGTAACTGGGGATCGTATTTGGCGAAAAATATTTGGTGATTTAAATTCTCCAAGTGCTTGTCCTTATAAGTAATATAAAAAATAAGTGTTACAAAAAAAAAAAAAAAGTAAAGAAAAAAAAAGAAAACGAATTTCTTGAAATTTCATAAAATCAGATAATTTGGAAGTAACATATGGAAAAATGTTTTACAAAACTTCTAGAAAAGAAACGCTTCAAAAATAATTTCATTAATTTCTGAATAAGTCCTGAAAGTTTCATCCGAGAATTATCTGATTTTTGCAAGAATTTCCAAATCAATGTACTTTTCATCGCAAAAAGAAGCTAAAATTTCCCGTACAAATATCTGCTCCAACGTTAACGCCAGAAAAAAAAAGATTGTTAACCAAATTTACGAAGATTCTAAAAACAATAATAATAAAAAAAAAAATCGAAAAGATAATGATGACATAATCAGGATGTTGACGTTCCTTAGTACTTCAAACAAAATATTAGGAAGGATGCCTTCGTCAGAACTGGAAAGAGCAATAACAGGCTTAACGCAACTATTTTTTCTGAAAAATTGTTTTAATAGAAAGAGTTTTATAAATTTCAGCCGACGGTAGTAGCACTGGCTGCTCGGTCAATGAACACTGAACGTTTCTTTATAAGGAAACGGTTCATATTACCATTACTCTTACAATTAATGGTTCGTCATTCACAAAAAAACAAAAACAAAAACCAAACAAAAAAAAAAAAAAGTCTTTATTGAGCATATTTTATAAGTACACGAATGAAAGCTTGGGTCAACCCGTTGTATGGTTTTAAGGCATTTTTCAACGATGTCGCATTCTGGGATCGCCTCCATAGGTCAATAGTATCAAGCCTGGAGAGGCGATCACAGTTAGCTGAATATATTACAAGAATAAAAGTTCTAATAAGAAGCACCTATGATGTTCGAATTTCCAAGTTAATGGTTCATTAGGTGAGTTTTTTTTAAGGCAAGTGGTCGTGAATAGGATATTTATCAACATCTGCTCAGTCTGTTAAATAGTTATGTTGAAGGTTATATTACTACTGCCTTTGAAATCAACTTGCTCTTGTCCTTTGTCTCGAACATTCACTACTGCTGGAAGTGTAAAACACGTAACTTTCTCACCCACCGAACAAAACCAAAGTACAAAGTTGAATTGAACACAAGCGGCAAACATTTCGGTCACAAATTTTAATTCAGTCCAACAACACAGAAAATAATACTTCAGTCTGGATACAATCAACAACTGACCAAACAGGTATTTTATTTTATATCAAGAACAATATATTTATATATCTATATACTTTTTAATGCTTCTTTGTGTCTTTCTGTTTTAGTTGCGGAAATCGTATGCCGTGTCATCAAACGGACGAATAAAAAAATTAACGGAGCCGACCTGTGCGTTTGTAGACAAGGGAAAAGAGGATACAGAAAGGACACCGATCTTTAGAGATAGCAATGATCATAACGTTGCTAGCGTCGAAAATTGGCCCACAAAGAAGCTCCTGGGCGGTTGCCATCATGAGTTAAAAGCGATTAAATGAAGAAGGTATTTATTACAACATTTACCCACCATTTCAGTTCCTCTCAAGTTTTTCTTTCTTTCTTTCTTTCTTTCTTTCTTTCTTTGATATTTATTTTATTTGTTTGTTTTCTCTTCACCTTTTCCCCTATATTTTATTCTTTCTTTTTCTCCTTTGTTTTCCTTCCTTCCTCCCTTCCTTCTCTTTTTCTATTTGTTTGTTTATTTGTTTGCTTGTTTCTTTTTTCTTTCTTTCTTTCTTTCTTTCTTTCTTTCTTTCTTTCTTTCTTTCTTTCTTCAATTTTTCTTTTTTTTGTTCGTCCATATTTTGTATACATTTTAGTTGGTTGCTTTCTCTTTTCACGCTTTTCCTTATATTTTATTGTTCTGTTTACCTTTCTTTTTTTGTTTATTTTGCCTTGTTTTCTCTGCTTTCCTTCCTTCCTTCCTTCCTTCCTTCCTTCCTTCCTTCCTTCCTTCCTTCCTTGCTTCTTTTTTCCTGTCTGTAATGACTAAGCGACTACATTTAATATCTTATAAAATGGTAATACATTTTTATTTCACTTTATAATAGACCTAGACCTAAAGGGGGGCACTAGGCCAATCGAACAAACTAAAGAACCAATGACCATAGTCGTGATATTATTTGGTTTTATTCATCTGTCAAAAGAGTTTATATTTACATTCACAGCTGTTGCGTCTCATAAAAAAAATAATATGGGGATATGTTAAAAAAAAGTAAATTTTATCGACTTCTGCGCACTTGAGAAAATGGAATATACTGGCATCGTCCGAATCTAAATACCGGAATATCTCAGTAAGTGCTCTAAATACCTTCATAAGTAAATGCAGCAATAAGCGAAAGGAAGTTATACATGGTCATTATAATAGCCTAAAAATACAAGCCTTGATAGACTGTTTTTTATAGTGTTACGAACAAAAATGAAGGAGATAGACTAGTGGGTCCCCAAAAAGTGTCAATCTATAGACAAAGAGATTTTGTAAAAAAAATGGGTGTATATGGTAATGGAAATGGTTCCCGTACGAAGATAAGCAACGTCGAGCCTGGTCAGTACCTAGATGAGTGATCGTCTATGAATACCAGGTGCTGTAAGCCTCGGATGGCTCGGAATTTGAAATCGGAGAGCCGAGTTGCAACGTTGGGTTTGTTATGTTCACTTACGCATAAATAACCTTGGGAAAGGTATGAATCCACTTTTTCTCCCCCAGCTATAGGTTAATTAGTAAGACCTGTATCAGTTAACCATTATAATCTCAAAAAAAAAAAAAAAAAAAAAAATCAACCAATTAAAGTAATCCTCCGCCTCTCGAGTCTTGTATAATCTATTAAAATTGAAATGTTTAATTTTGGAGCTATTAACGATACTGTGTGGAGAGAATTCTGTTTCAGTAACGATTTCGATTGATCTATTGCAACTGTAGCAATACGCAATATGCCCTGTTCATCTTTCTGATTCCTTTCTTATCTTGAGGCTTTTAACAACATATTGGGCGGATTAATGTTCACCTAATGTTATGGACAGCTTTCTGGTAGGTGTTGGGCTAAAGATTGAACTCGTTAAACAAAGCGATGCGTAACACTTCAATTTTCATCTTAATTCTGAGGTCATTAAACACGCAAATTATTATGTGTGAAAGAAAAAAAAACATCATAAATCGATAGAACAATAGCTGGAAAATAAAAATGTACACTGTTGAATAGATATTTTATTGTAATATATAGCATAATTTTTCGACTATTTCGTAATATATATATATATATATATATATATATATATATATATATATAATTATTTATTTAAAAAAATTTATAACATAAACATGTTATAAAATCACTACAAAAATAGCCATTTTGTGTCTTATCAAGTGATGATGTTGAACGCAAAACAAATGATTTTAAAAGTTTCAAATTAATTAACGATCCTTCGCAAGGGGAAAACGTTGTTCCAAAAGCTAGAATGACCAATCAAAATACAAGTATAGGAAAATTCAAAAAGCCTGACAACGAAGTCATGTTATAATAGCTGTTCAGATCTTTAAAATAGGGGTAATATTAAAAAAGAATTTATTTTAACCAATAATTATTAAATTGTATCATAAAATTTGATATTAAAATTAAAAACTGCCAATTTTAAAATCCAAATTTAATCATATTAAGTTTAAAATTATAAAAATTACCGAGGAGAAAAGGAGAAATACATATGTTATTCAATTTATTTCTTCGTTGAAATTACGTTAGAATAGACGGTACGTCATCCGGTCCTCTGACAATATATATATATATATATATATATATATATATATATATATATATATGAAAAAGATATATAAATTTTATATACCAAAACAATGTTAAGAAAATCACTGACAAAATAGAAGAATAATTTTTGTGTGACGCATTTCATCCTTTAGGACGCATTTCATCACACAATGATTGTCGGACTAAAGGGATATTTACGCTGATGTGAGTACGCATCTGTACGAATGAGAGGGAGGTTGAAAAGTTAAACTTTTAAACTTATTTTTTTTTTTTTAAATATGCGTTTGGATATATAGTCTAGCCATTTACATTATTTTCTTTTTCTTTTTGTTTATTTTTTGCTTATGTTTTTTTTATCACTTTTTCTATTAAGTATCTAAAATGGAGATAATTGAAGATCTGCCAAGAATGGTGAAATGTTGCAAATATACTTTCGATGACCCGGCGATTAAAGCATTTTCTATACACTTCCATCTAAATAAATTTCTTTTAATTAAAGTAGTACTTTTTAAATCAAAATTACGATTAAACTCATCACGGTGAGCAGTTAATGTACTGTGCATCTTGTTTTGTAAAATACCTCTCTTGTGTTCATATAATCTTTTATGTAAATTCCTTGGGGTTTCTCTTATGTATTCTTTATTGTTATTACAGGAGACAAAGTAAATAGGTTCTTCAAGTTTTAAATTATTATTTTGTTTTGTATTATTTAAGTATTTTATTGTTCTAGATGTAGTTGTAAGAAATTTTATGTCAAGCTTAGATAAACATCAACTTAGTCCGATGAAGTCACACGAAAACTTTTTTCCACTTTCCACACACACACACACACACACACACACACATATATATATATATATATATTGTAAGAAACAATCTAAATTGTAAGAAAAAACATAGAAAAAGATTATTTGTGACGCGTTTCATCCGTTAGGACTTCATCGGACTGGGTTTGTTGACGCTATTGTGACTACAAATGCACCTGAACGAGGGACGCTGGTAGTTTTAAAATGTTTTGAAATATTTTTTGCAATCTAGCCAGATTCATTTATATTCTTTTTCTTTCCATCATTCTTTTAAAATATCCCAGAGTGTGATTACAAGAAATCTGCCAAGAATGATGATAAGTTATAAGAACCTGGACGTAAATTTACTGTTGCTGAATTAGCTATTAAAGCACTTTCTAGACATTTCCATGTTAGTGAATTATTTTCTCTTTTAATTAGAGTAGAATTTTTTATGTCAAAATTGTGGTAAGTTTCGTTACAGTAAACAACCAATGCGTTTATCTCTTTTTTCTTCATATAGTCTTTTGTTTAACTTTCTACAATATATTCCTTCTCGTAATCCTTGCTGTTGATAGAGTAAATTCCTCCTTCAAGTTTTGACTTGTTGTTTTGTTTTGCATTGTGATATGTCCCGGAAAGGGATATATTTGGTCGAAGTAGTTAAGGGGTTTTGGCTACTGTAACCAAGTAGTACACGGTAGCAGTAATCGACTGGTACTCGTAGTCGCAGGTAATAGGTGTAGACCAATAGGATAGTCAATGGCGTAGTCCAATGGGCGACGTCATAGACTTAAACTCTGTCGTACCTACACGTCCGTCTGTATTTATGACGAACACCATCCAATCATATTCCAGTGAGGGGGAACTCATGTGCATGCATATTCCATTATATCACATTGATTAAATCTTTTATTGTTTTAGGTTGTAGTTGTGATAGAGTTAGTGGGTAGAGTAATATATTTCTTTAGTCGTTAGGTTTGTCACGAAGTACAGCTATTCTATTTTGGGATAATATATAACGATAGTAAAGAATATGTTTCACCAAAAAATAATCGAAAAAGAAGGTAAGTCTGAAATTCAAGTCTTTCTAATTATATATAAGTAATAAGTAATAAATGAAATAAATTTACGAGATATAAAATAAATTAACGAATATAATAAAATTCCATTTAATTGAATGTTCATTTATTTTATCATTGTCTCATAATAACTGAACAAATGTATTTTATTATATATATATATATATTTTTCTATATTTATATCTATATATATATATATATATATATATATAATATCAAGTATGTGATGCAGTTCAATTTACATTACATGAATCATTCATACAAGAAACAGATATAGAAGTTAATGATATAAATGGCGAGAATACATCTTCGCAAACAAATTTAATAAATTACATTAACCCCGAACCTGTAGATGAATGTTATGATCCCTGTTTATAAATTCCAGTTGCATAAGGTTTTTTCTTATTTTTTTTACAATCTTTCATCTGTGCATACAGCCATCATCAGGTATTGAAATAGATTTGTATTTTACATCCTGGTAATAACAGGACAACGAAAAAATAGATGTAATCCGGAATATGTTTTTAGAAATGTGTTATTGTTAATTGTAAGAAATTTTTTGGGAGCGTGCGGTCGCAACGCTGAGGTTGAATTTTTAAATTTTAAGATTGTGCGTTTTTGTACTAATATGGTAATAGGAGAATTCTTTTGTACTCATATGGTAATAGGAGAATTCTTTTGTACTGGTAGGTTTTTCAGTCAATGTGGCATGAACTAAATTGTTCAATAATTAGAGGAATTCATTCAGTAATCCTTTCTAGATTGCAGCACTCAGTTTATTTCACCCAGTAACCCATTGTAGTTTAGTGGCTTTATCGCCTTGCTCGCGGTAAAATAATTAAACAAATGTATAACATTTTATTAGGCATTGAATATGCAGCAATTTGTTCACAGATGAAAACGCGAAACTTGTTTGTGAATTCTATTAGAATATCGGCGCTATAAAATCTTGCTTTTTTTCCTATTACTAATATACGTACGATTTCGGTAAAATCTGTGATACCCATGACTTGCAAAAATCAGAATCCTTCATCTTTTTTTTAATACTTTTATATCCTTTCTACTTCTCTGACACGGCTTCACAATGCTTTGAGTATGTTCCTTCTTCCCACACCCCAACCAAATTCAAAACGCAAGCATTTCATCTGTCCGTCCCTCCTTCCCTGCCTTCATATCAATCTCACTCCAACCACCACCACTACCACCTGAACTCAGATTCCGAAACCCACCATTTATGTCTTATCTGTTTCCTTCTCCAACGTTTCTACCACTCTTACCATCAATTCCAATCATTCTTTCTTTATGCAGACAATGGCTTCTCCGCAAAAATCGATTCCTCTTGCCCTCTGAATCCGTCAGGAGGAGTTCACCGGGGCCCATAAAAACAAGCAGCGTCCATCAATCGCCACATTTCGGCTGGACAGTAAGTAAAAGCAAAAATTGCGTATTTTTGTTTCCTCAACCCTCTCCAACCAACCCATTATACCCCACCACCTACAGCAATGGTAGTGACCGGTGGGTCTGGTCAAATTGGCTGTCCGTTGTGTTAATCAAATGTCCAGGTTGGATGGAAAAGTATATAATGGGAAATGAGGGTAAGAAGGGGAAAGAGGGAGAAGGATTAAAACACGAAGAAGAAAGAACACACACACACACACACACACACACACACACACACACAGAATGATGTGAATAAAGAGCGAAACAGAATGAATAAGTAAAGAGAGATAGCTGAAGGGTTGGAAAAAGAAATTTAAAAAGCAAGAAAGAGAAGAGAACAAGAATGAAGAAGAAGAAAAGGTGCAAAAGGAATAACAAAAAAAAATAAGAGGAGAATAAAAGAAAAATACAAGTACAAGAGATAATAAGTGAAGAAAAAGAAGAAGAAAAAAGAAGAATGATGGGAAGAAAGAAAGCGACAAGATATATGAGAAAGAAACGAATGTAATCGTTTTAAAGAAGAGAAACAAAGGAAAGAAGAAAGGAAAGAAGAAGAAAATAAGGTCAAGAGAAAATATTAGGATTTGAGTGAAAAGTAGAAAGCATTTTGAAAAAGGTATTGATCCCAAATATCGAAATAAAAGAATAAATAGTGGCGCGCATGCGCACACACACACACTATATATATATATTATATATATGTATAGTGAGTGTGTGTGTGATCTGTAAGCTCATGACTTATTTATTCACTTTCTAATATATATATATATATACATATATATTTCTAATATATATATATATATATATATATATATAATTATGTATATGAGAAGCTGAATCGATATGTCATGAGCTTGAACGATTGTCATTAGATGTATTTTGATCTGAAACGTCGACTGTTCAATCTATGTCATTAATATTCACCATTGATTTATTTTGTTTAATCATTCCACCCCAAGCAAGGCAGTAAAGCCACTAAGACACAAGGGCTTACTGAGTGTGAAAGAATAAGAAAAACACTGTCAAGTAGCGAGAACACTAAAATCAAAGGAATCAAGAAGACAGTAGACAGCAATTGTCATTGCATTTAAGTGTTTTGAAGATCAAAGTTGGCTGGAAAGGAAGAAGTCGGAAGAGAATTAAGTGCATTGACAAGAAACGAAATTATGTTGAAACATTATTTTTTTCGTAAAATATATGTAATTTTTCCTTAGGCTATTGATTCTTTGATGAACCTATGTGTATCGCTACCTAGAGAAAGAGAAAGAGAAAGAGAAAGAGCCGGGGAGTGGGTGGGATAGCGACATACAAATAGAGGGGAGAGAGAAGGAGAAGTAAAGAATGAAGAAGAAAGAATTAGGATTCTGTAGTTATTCATTGTAAATAGAAAACTACTGGAATATATTTAAATCGTATATTTAAAAAAATAAAAGAAACGAATGAATGGTATTCTGGGAGAAAGAAAGACAGAAAGAAAGAAAACAAGAAAGAAAGAGTGAATGTTATCACGAAGACAGGATAGAGAACTGTTTCCTTTCTGACCAAGTCTGTCCACCCGAAGTTGGTCGTAATCGTCACCGAGATTCTACAATGTCAGATCATTTGTTTATTCCGCGCTTAAAGGGCATGAAATTAAAATAAACAGAATGCTCGCGGGAGACGAAGTCGACCCGTGTCCCCGGAGAGGCCATGATTGTCACCGTAATATGATTTTAAGATGAGGTTTGTTGGCCAGAGTGACGTAGTATTGAATTGACGAATGCCCCTTGCGATTTAAGGTTATTACTTGTGTCAGTATGAGGAGAGAGTGAGAACATGGTGGTAGATATCGAGATGGTGAAAGAGGTAGGAAGGAAGAGCAAAAGAGTTTGACTGAAGGAATAAAAAAGGAAGAAAGAAATCTGGAATTAAGAAACGAAAAGAAATGGTAGAAGAAGAACAAGCGAAAAAAGTAGTATAAAGAAAAAATTGAGACCCTAAAGATATAGAGGGGAAAAGAATAAAACAATAATGGGAAAGAAATAAAAGAAAAAGAAAGCAGACAAGTAAGAAAAAGAGAACGAATGGAGAGAGAGAGAGAGAGAGAGAGAGAGAGAGAGAGAGAGGGGAATAGAGAAATATGGAAATTAAAAGAAGAATAAAAACAAGTAAAATTCTACAGAAAGAAGGAAAACGAAACGAAAAAGTAAATTTAAAACGAATAAAGAAAGGATATAATGTAAAAAAACAAAGAAAATGAAGACATTTTTTTAAATAGAAGGAATGATCCGCAAAAAGAAAAAATAGAAAAGAAGAAAAATTTAACAGCAATAGAAAGAAAGGATGGAAGAGAAAAAAATGACGAAATAAAACGACAAAAGAAAAGAATTAAGGAAGAACCAGAGAAACAAAGCAAAAATAAATAAAATGGGAGCGTAAAGAATACAAAAGATAAGCAAAAAATAACGACGTAAAGAAAAAAAAAATCAGAAAAGAAAAAAGAAGAAAACTGCTTGACAGAAAGACTCGTCTCCTCTCGCAGCTGTTCTCTAGTAGCGCGGCCGATGTTGCTGCTGTCGGCTGCCCCAAACTGACAGTCAAGGGTCATCAAGTCCCAGCACATCGCTTATCTCCCTTGATGACTCGAGAGTTCGCCTTCTGATATCCACATGTCACACGGGGTCTTTCTTTGGTATGCTGGATTAAAAAAAAAAAAAAAAAATGTAAAGAAAAAGTATTTTCTCGAAACTGTCTTGCGCATTTTACCTATATCTGCCCCCCCCCACCGTTTTTTTTTCCCAACCGAAATATTCGTAAGTGAAGGCTCAAAGGCGCATGCGCGCATTGCGTTTATGTCATTTTTATTTGATCTTTTTTTATTTCTATTTTTTGATTTCAAAATGGTTGATTCGTAGATCCGTCACACAAACAAGCGTCTTTCCAAAAACTATTGATATTCTTTCAGGTTGAAATGATCTTATTTAACCCGTCAGGTTTTGTGATTTGATGGCCTGAAGGAGAATAGAGTAACGGAGAGGAAACAATGAAAGGAGACAAGAAAAGTATACATCAGATGAAAACAAAAGATATCAAATGGAAAATAGAAGCTGAATAAGTCTGATTCGTAGAGAGCAACTCATCGAAGCTTGACAACAGTGCCATTTTCGACGGAATTTTACATCCATATTTTTGCTGCATCTTTGCTAAACAGAACTTTTTAGTTATTACCGAGATGGATTGGTCACAGCGTATCTGTCGGGATTAGCCGAGTTTAAAGACATTTTCCCCCTTAGGTTCTCAAATGTTTACCCATTTGGCAATGACCGCTTATATTTTTGCTTACAAATTATTCACCACAAAACATAAAGTTGGATACCTCTCATCGAAATTTCATTGCATTCTGCTAATAGATGAAGATATCACTATCCACATTTGCTTTTATTCAACTGTTATATCACTTAAATAACTTGAGTTTCCTCTCATGCACGTTGTGGTTAAAAAGACTTGGGGTTCCTCTGATGCACGTTGTAGTTAAAAAGACTTGGGGTTCCTCTGATGCACGTTGTAGTTAAAAAGACTTGAGTTTTCTCTCCCCGTACGTTGTGGCGAAAAAGACTTTCTTCTTCTGCATATTGTGGTGAAAAAGAGTCCTGTTTCCTCTCATGCCCATTGTGGTTAAAATGGCTTGGGCTTCCTCTCATACACGTTGTGGTTAAAAAGAGAAACGTTCTTTTACTTTAATGGGTTCAGTTGGTTTGGGAAAAAAGCTGTCTGTCGTTTTAAAACAAACATTTGAGCGTTCGTTTTTAACAGATTCAATTACTTTGGGGGATAAGCAAATGTAATCGCTAAATCTATGGAATATGTTGGTTATGTGGTTGATATCTTGATGCTCCATACAACTCCGAGTGTCTGAAGTAGTATTTCATAATTTGTAGTACACACAGAATATAGTATTTTTCGGCGTTAAATACACTATGTTGTGAAATCTACTGAATTATCGGAATTACGTTGTTTATAGAACTATATCTATTTTCATAGAGTTTTTTATGAGAGTGAATGAGTGTAACCTTTTTCTATTTCCCAAGAATGAATTGTGTAAACCCCTAGTTAGTGTCAGCTTGAATTTCTTAATTGAGGAATTATCATTAATATGCACTCATGTATTCAAATTAGCATTCTCATATAGTCCAAATATTAATAGCTTGATAATTTATTTTCAGAGTATACCCTAAGCTGGCTCGCTACCCTCTTTTTACATTTTTCCTTATTAATGTTTCTTCAATAACTACAGAGCAAACTTGTGGTTTATAATGTAACTCAGTTGAACGGATCTTATCACCCTAACACAAGCAGTAAAGTCACTAAAACACAAGGGGCTACTGAGTGTGAAAGAATTAGAAAACAGAAACATTATTATGGAGTGAGTACAATTGAAGAGTAATCAAGGAGACAGTAGATTTCGATCGATATTGCATTTAAATTTTTGAAGATCAAAATTAGCTTGAAAGCATGGAGCCGGAAGAGGTTTCCACAATCGAGAAGTGCGAGAAAAGAAACTGTTACGGTTACGTTTAGCCAATTCAACTGTGAATTGATGAGACCTTTCTAGAACTGCGCTTAATTTCGTAAAGTTTAGGTACCATAGCGAAGAATTCATCCGAAACGTTAGCATGAAAGTATTTATAGAAAAAGGTACAATTGTAGTTTCTGGGAGAGAGCGTCCAATCTGGCGTGATTCAGTAGTTGAAAAAGGCCAGTATAGCCAATCCTTCTGATAACTTCATACAATCAAAACCATCGACAGTTTCCAAACTGTTCCCTCTACTCAATCTCACTCACAAGGCTTGGATCAACCCGAATTATGATTTTCAAGCATGTGATCGTCTCACCGAGCCGATATTATAAATAAATCATCTGCTTGATAAATGATGAGATTCAAAGCCGAGGTTGGAATGCAAAG